CACACACACACACACACACACACACACACACACACACACACACACACACACACACACAGATGGATTTGAGGATGACGTTTGGTGATTGCTTACACAGCACACACTACGGAGTAGTGTATAGCGAACATGATAGCAGACACACGCACGCACACACACAAGGGTGTCCACAAAAGACTCATGCACAGAGTTGTTAGAAATATCCAGAATTCCATATGGTGAAAGATTGCAGAGCATCCCGAAAACTTGAAGTAGTTTCCCCAACCTGAAATCAACAGAACCAAAGTGCACACACATGCACGCACATGCAACACACGCGCGCATGCACACACACACACACACACACACACACACACACACACACACACACACACACACACACACACACACACACACACACACACACACAGCCGGACACCAGCTTTGACCGCAGCCAGCCTCAGCCCTCCGCACAATCAGCAGCAGGCCCACCCTCTCGTGTTATTCCTGCTGCAATGGCAGACACTAATGTGGATACCCCAACTCAGGTGGAGACCATGCCAACCGCAATAAGCAATGTAAATGTTCCCGAAGTGGCTGTAAGGGATGAAGGCCAGCATCCTACCAATACAGTGCCTACTGCTTCTGCTGCTGAAGGTATACCTCCTCCACTGTCACCACTGCCACCGCCACCACCACCCCCAACCCCACCACCACCGCCGCCATCACTGCTACCATCATCATCATCATCATCATCGCCACAACCACCCCCACCGGCATCCTCTGCTACAGCATCCTCTCAGTCATCTGCCTCTTCTACTTCTCCCTCTTCTTCCCTCTCCTCCGATACCTCCTCGTCATCAACTTCATCATCAACACATTCATGGTCAGATCGGCTGTCACAAACGCCCTGTCGGCCGAGGCATCCGCTGTCAGATCAGCCGTTACAGATGCCTCTTCGGCAGAGACGTTCCCCATCTGTCCGATGCCCGCAATGTGGCGATGATTTCTTCAGTGCTGTATGCTTGCGAGTGCACCAAGCACGAGGTGCAGCTACCTGTACAGCATTTGCACGACTAGCAGCCACTCTGAGCACAAGTGTGGCTGTTCAGCTTCCACTTCCTGCATCTGACCCACCCATTTCTCATCCATTTAACCCCACCTGCCCCGCCCGAATTGACAGTGAACCACCTCTGCTCACTTGATGGAGCCCCCGACTGAAGATGATTTTTCTCCGGACCGCATACTAGAGGCAATGAAGTTAATACAGCCGGACAGTCAAGACCGCAATGAATCTCCGCCAGTTGTGCAATCTGTAGAACTGAATGACCCCCCTTCCCCCCCCCCCCCTCCTCCTCCCCTGCCGCACAACCTGTACAATCAGATGATATCATAGTGTTACAGCGAGGCCACTGTCGGTACTACGTCATTAATGTATGTCTCCTCGCTTACAATTGCAACCCTTATACTGTATCTGATTTTGCAGACACTGTCCGCTGGATAGAAGAACAGCACCGTGCTATCTGCCCAGACGACGACAGTACTGGCATGAACATAGAAGTTCTCTCTATGGCATTTATGGGCACACGACTACAACTACAGCCTGCCCCGCATAATCACGTGCCAGGCATGGATCCAAACATTCATGCATACATCCTACATCGTCCAGGTCATTTCAGGGCTGTCACTTTTGTGGATAATTCATGGACTTTATGGGACAACGGCGCTGCACACAGCGGGAAACATTAACTGTTTCTATCAGCAATCAGTAGAACATCACTCGGTCTGGCTCGTCCATCAAGAACAATATGTGTACCTGCAAGCTCTACAACCGCCGAAGAGCAATCCGGCCGAACCACCTCGTTCCCCTGTGCATGGCCAGGCAGAGAGTCCTCCCTCTGTAGATCGGACGGATTTTGCCGCGGAGTCGCGGACACCTCTCCAGAGGACGATGACTGTGCAATCCCATTCCGTCGTCACACAACTATAGTTGCACATGCCATAGTCTCTGCTCCGAACACTATGAAGAGATGGTCACTGCCAGCCTCTGCCACGAAAACTGTGATCCTTCGTCTTCTACTCATCCTTCCCACCCCCTAATTGCTTGCCCAGCATGCCGTTGTGGCCTCGACATGCCATATCTAAATAGCTGCAAATGTCAGCCTGCTTTCCTGCTGACATGTCAGCAACATGTTATGTGTCATCAAGGTTTCCAGGCAGCTGTCAGAGAAAGTATGTGTCTCTGTTGCATGGACTATCCCCCATGCCACTATCCGTTACATCCTCCGTTACATCCTCCATTACATCCTCTCCTAGAACGCCCTGCATCCAATGTTGGGCACTTGCAAGATGAACGACAGATGCAGCAGCCTGAGGTGGGTAATAGACCATCCTATGAACCACCTACAGAGCACTGTACTGAAAGGGTATCTCCGCCAGGACGAGCTGTTGCAGACCAAATTCTGCAGCAGCTAAGCACCCTTGCTTTGGATCAATCCCCGTCGTCGCCTGCCCATAGGGAGGGAATAAATACTACGGAAAGTCATGAAACCTGCTCAATGCCTCTCTGTGATGACCCACCTGAGATCCGGCTGGCATGTGGTTCACATGCCTTGTGCCGTGAGGATTATGACGGGATAGCCCATGCGAGTTTTTGTTTTCATATGTATGATGACAGTCAGTACAGCACTCATGTACGGCACCCTGACATGTCGTGTCCAATTTGTAGACAGGGGAGGGAACGGTGATGTCTTTAGCAATTTCGGTCGGTGTGACTCTGTGTTCCTAGCATGTAGGAGCCACGTAGCCTGTGGCATCTGTCTACGCCAAGCCATTCGATGCACCAACTGCAACTGCAAGAATTGGATGTGGTGCTTCCACAGTCCACACCTGAACCGGGCCTGTCCGGTCTGTAGGGGTGGCAACTTACCATAGCCAACGGCTGCTACTCAACTCAAAATCTTATGCAACCCAAACACTGGCTGGCCTCATGTGCCATTCTAGAGTAGTCTGCTCCGGCGAGGAGTATTTAGAATCCTGTGAAGTTCATCACATCGGTCCTGTCCTTTGCACTCCACTTCCTTCCCTACACTGGCTGACCTCATGTGCCCGTCTAGAATAGTCTGCTCCGGGGGCGAGTATTTAGAATCCTGCGAAGTTCATCACATTGGTCCTGTCCTTCGCAATCCACTTCCTCCCTTACCCTTTCTCCCTCCCCAGCCCGTTACTCCCTACAGAACTCCGCTTCTTACACCTTTCCCTTTACCCTCCCCTTATGTGCTACTAGCGAACAACATACGAATGAGCATCATTAAGGGAACAGACAAAGTATAAGCTGAAGATCTGAAGTGAAATGAACAGGAATCCTTCCCCTTTACTCTGCCTCCTTTCATAACGTGCAAGTGGGCCGTTAAGGCACACGGGGATGTGGGCAGCTGCCGATCAACCACAATCAACGTGGGCAGCCTTGTAGGTGTGAGGCACAGTCAAAAAGGGGAGCTGCAAGAGCAAATGGAAGGGGTACCCCAAGGATAACCAAAAAAAACTGTCTAATTGTAAAATTGCTTAAACATTGGGCTGTCTCAACTCAAGTGCTCTCATGGTCAGCAGTAGGACAAAAGCTGCTTTGATTCTGAATCTACTCATCTGGGTGGAATTGGGGCTGGTGTGGGGAAAATTTAAAACACACACTCTCTCTCTCTCTCTCTCTCTCACACACACACACACACACACACACACATCCCTTTATAGCTAGCTTGCCAAGGCGGACGTCCAGGACCCTCCGAGCGTCCGGGTTGTCCAATCAGACAACCGGCCCAAACGTCCGGCTGGGACCACATGTCCACCCCCTATGAGAAATAGCGAGGGGGGCGTTCTCGACTTTTTGGGCCTGTCGGGGTAGGCAGGAGGACGGCAGCTACCAGAGGAGGCCCAATAAATTTTTTCCTGAGGCTGGTAGGGCCTCCAAAAATGAAAAAAAAAGGCCCCATCTGAGCCGTCAGATCTTGAAGAAAGACGGCCCAGATTGGGCCTTTTTCAATTTCAAATTCAAATTTCCTCTGCAGCTGCTGCAGCTGCTTCAGCCCCCCGGCCCTTCTTTTTTTTTTCTGCAGCTGTGGCTGCCCCCCCACCCCACCAACCCCCCACCCTTTTTTGTATTTTTTTTTCCCCTGCAGCTGCTGCAACTGCTGCTGCTACAGCTTCCCCACCCCACCAACCCCCCACCCTTTCTTTTTACTTTTTTTCTCTCTGCAGCTGCTGCTCCCCCCCTGCAGCCCCCCTCGCCCCCCCMCCCTCGGCTTTTTTTTCTCTGAACGGGCCCAGAATTTCCCCTAGGAGTCTCCGCGCCGAGCGCAGGGATTGGCCGAAAATGTGTTGTTCGGGATCCCGGACAACTGGGGTCCCGGTCCAGGCCGGATGTCCGACCCAATCGTCCGGCCAAAGCGTCCGGTGAGCGGACACCTGGTAACTTGGACAAGCCTCAGCACCCATAACCTTTATAGTGATTTGAAACCCCTACGCTGTGAGATTTCTCAAACAAGGACAGAGCAGCCTCAGCACCCATAACCTTGTGTTCTCCTGAACACCATCGCGAAGCTAAGACCCCAAGCAGATTCAGCAGGGGTACAAAGGACTCAAACAAACAAGTGAAAAGGTTGAAGAGAGAAAAACAAGGGATGTGTATAGTGATTGTCTGAGTGACAGATTCCTTACATTCACACCTCCCGCCAGAATGGACAAAGACGGATTTTTTATGAGGTTTTCAATGGTCATGCCATGAGCCGTGCCAACAAGCTGCACACCTCTCTGCGCAATTGTACATGCAGCATTTGCCTCCAGCTCTGTGCCTATCTCATCAATCACAATTGTTTGCGGCATGTGATTCTCCACCGCTTCAATCATCACCTGCCAAAGTGCCACGTGTGCAATCAGAGCCCAGCAGACAAGGTAGGTTACATCGACTAAGTTTGAAAAATAACCACCAAAACATGATATCATGATAATGATCGGAAAACAAAAAATTCAAAATACGAGTCAGGAGAAGAAGGAGGTAAGCTGCAGTCGATCGGCAGTTGAGCTGCAGTCAACGTGCATTTGATCTGCAGTCGACCCGCAGTTCAGCTGCAGTCGATCTGCAGTTAAGCTGCGGCTAAGCTGCAGCGAATTCGCACTTAAGCTGCAGTCGATCTGCAGTTAAGCTGCGGTTAAGCTGCAGCAAATTCGCACTTAAGCTGCAGTCGATCTGCAGTTAAGCTGCGGTTAAGCTGCAGAGAATTTGCACTTAAGCTGCAGTCCATCTGCAGCTAAGCTGCGGTTAAGCTGCAGCGAATTCGCACTTAAGCTGCAGTCGATCTGCAGTTACGCTGCAGTCAACCCACAGTTCAGTTGTAGTCGACGTGCAGTTAAGCTCAAGTGGACCTCGTGAACACCACTGCATTTTGTCTCCTTCGTCAAGCTCAGTTGGTAGAGCACGAAAGCGGCATTCAGGAGGTCGTGGGTTTGAATCCCCACATCTTCCATTCGAATCCTCACAGCCTCCTGCGGTGCACTGCAGGGTCACCAGCTGAGGTAGTCGGCTTCCCTCCCTTCCCTCCCCCCCCTCCCTCCCCAACTTGGTTGGTCTTGGTAGGGGCTATTCCCTCGTCCCTTCCATCCCTCCCCTGGGGTTAGGCCCAACCCTTGTGGAGCAAAGATTACCCCATGGTGCTTCGGCATGGGTGGAGGTTGGTGCTAAGACTCATAGATTGTCCTTGATATCCTGCCTTAGATAGGTAGCTCGTGTGAGGTAAAAAGAATCGAGAGAGAGAGAGAGAGAGAATAAACATGACAAGGTTGACTGGAGCGTTTGAAAGTGGCAAAGGTTCAAACATGCGTTCTAATGTGTGCCTCCTTGCTCGACTGCAGCGGCACAAATTGACAAAAAACTCATTAGACACATAACCTTAAGCCAATCGGGAAAACGAAAAAAAAACAAAAAGAAAGTCAAACCAGAAAACTAATTTCATATGCGTTTCCAACTTTCCACGCTTGCAGATAAACTGCAGACAATCAATCATTTCTGTTTCGCTTATAAAGTGTAGAAAATCTCCTCCCTCTCCCATGATAAAAAACTGCAATAAATGACGATTACCTTAAAGCCAATCATTTCGTTTTCCCTTTACACAAAAAAATAAAATAAAACAATTGTTCTTCCACCTCCTCCATCCTCCTCCTTCTCCTCTCCTCCTCCTCCTCCTCCTCCTCCTCCTCCTCCTTCTCCTCCTCCTCCTCCTCCTCCTCCTTCTTGTAATCATATTCACCGTCCTTGTTTCTATTTTCTGTTCCTTTAAAAAACATTAAAAAATATAAAAAAAGGAGCAGCTTGATCATTTTCCATTAAACCCAGAAAAGGAGAGGCCGGGAAAACCTCAACAAACAACCCACAGAAAGAAAAAAAGAAAAAAAAAAAACTGGGGCCCTACCCAGCTTAGGTGCAGGCGTTGGGATGTTGTCAGGAGACAGGAGAGATGGCCAAATCTGGGCCGCTGCTGCTCTTTTTCTTTCAATCAAGACCCATCCATCCATCCATCCATCATCATCATCATCATCATCAATCATCAATCATCATCATCATCAATCAGCAATCATCATCACCATCGACTATCATCAAGAATCACCACGATGATTACCCCCCCCACACACACACACAATCAAAATCATCATCCTCATCGTCATCACCCCCACCAGCACCCTCAAATCATCATCACGCAGCCAATCAATGAGCCCCGCACCTCGTGTTGCAGCTCCACCTCAGCCACCTGCATTCTCCTGGCGCTCCCAATCCCCGGGTGTGGTATATCCCCATCACCCCCTATCTCGTTGGACGTATCAACGATCACCACGCGCCGGTCGTACTCTTCAGCCAGCATTCTCGCTATCTCTCTTATTGCTGTTGTCTTACCAACCCCAGGAGGACCCATCAGCAACAAAGAGCCTCCCCCTGCAACCAAGTCTCTAACCATCTCCGCGCTACCTCGTATGGCTCTGCCGACTCTGCATGTCAGCCCAACAATCTTGCCCGCACGATTTCTCATGGCGCTGATCCTGTGAAGCGTCCGATCTATTCCAGCGCGATTATCACCGCCGAACTCACCAACCTGTCAAGTCATAAGTATCAATTTAATTTAATAAACCCAATGGACCTTACGAAGAAGAAAAAAAAAAAAAAAAAAAAAAAAAAAAAAGAAGAAGAAGAAGAAGAAGAAGAGAGAGAGAAAACTACGGCGCAGTCAGGTTTTCGAGTTTGAAAACGCACTTGTTGAGGCAAAAAAGAACTGAAAATGTCGAATGTATACAACCTAGGTTTCGGGTCCGGTACGGTGACGGGGGGGGCCGGGGGGGGGGGTTATGTTCGGGGGAATGCCTCAAGTGCATTTTCAAACTGTTTCCTTTTCTTTTTTTTTTCTGTTTTTTTTGGGGGGGGAGGGGGAGAACTGTCTCCTTGACTGCGCCATGCTTACCCCTTTTAGTAAATAAATACATCAATAAATAAGTAATATACCAATGGGCCTAGCTCAGTTGGTACACGGTACACCCATGAATTGTTGAAAAATACGGACCGGAGTTCGAATCCAGGTTCAATTAGATGGCCAGCATAAAATCATTCATTGTGAATTACCTGGGGGCGGTCAGGTCCATGATGATATCCTCAAGTCTGACATGATAAGTCGATGACACAGCAACTTCGATTGATTGATTGATTGATTGATTGATTGATTGATTGATTGATTGATTGATTGGCACGACATCAATGAGGTGCACCCATGCATAAAGCAGACAAGCAACCTATCTATCATATTTCAGAGGCCAGGTTAGCATCCAACCACGGCCATTAAAAAAAAAAAAAAAAAAAAAAAAAGGTTAGCATCCAACCAAACTGTGTTCCAGGAGCAGGTAGATAAGACAAGGGGAAGAGGAAGAAAGTGGAAGAAGAAGAAGAAGAGGGAGAGGAGAAGGAGGAAGAAGAAGGAGATCACAAGATTCACAAGAAAGGAGAATACGCGCAAAATTATGAAAAAAACTCCAGAACGCGACTAGTAAAAAAGATACATCAATCAGACAAGGAGAAGAAGAAGAAGAAGAAGGAGAAGAAGAAGAGGAGGAGGAGGAGGAGGAGGAGGAGGAGGAGGAGGAGGAATAAGAAGAAGGAGAACACAAGAGAGGATAATACGCTTTAAGATTATGAGGAAAAAAAAACTCCCAAAAGCGGCTATTAAAAAAGATATATCAATGAAGCATATCCGCGATATATCAAGGCCGTCGCCCTTTTCAAAGTGAAATAATACAAATAATAATAAGTATTAATATTTCTAATTTAGTACATTAGTATGTAAAAAAAAAAAAAAAGGCCCAACCTTCCAACCAGCAAATCAAAGAACAGCACCACTCTTGCAGCCTTCCAATCAGCAACAGGCAAAAAAAAAACGACACTCTTGGAGTAGCTAAACTCAACAAGTATTAATATTTCTGATTTATTTAGTACATTATTATGTACCCAAAAAAAAACAAGGCCCAACATTCCAATCCTCCCCGCCTGTCACCCTCCTAATAAAAAATCCAGCCTTCCAATCAGCAACAGCCCAAAAAATAAACGACACTCTTGGGGTAGCTAAACTCAACAAGTATTAATATTTCTAATTTAGTACATTATTATGTACCAAAAAAAAAAAAAAAAACAAGGCCCAACATTCCAATCAGCAAATCAAAGAAAAGCACCACTCTTGCAGTAGCTAGACCCACCAACGCCCTCCTGTCTTTCACACTCCCTCAAAACCCCTGGGAAAAGAAAAGAAGAAAAAAAACTCACAATAAAAATTACTCCTTATAGAAAATCCAGCCTTCCAATCAGCAACAGACCAAAAAAAAAGGACACTCTTGGAGTAGCTAAACCCAACAACAGCCTCCCCACCTGTCACCCTACTTCTACCAACC